TATATAACGTAGCGCCCTGTACTCCTTGATGGGAGTTCTTGATCGGCTTCAGCGATGTAGTTCACTACTGTTGAACCGATATCCTGGAAACAAGAATGAGTAATAATTTACTGCAATGATTTCATTTAGTGCCTGTAGCCTGCAATGCCAGGTGGTTTTGCGAGGGCTTGCGATTGATGTTTAGCCGGCCATGAGTCACAAAAAACGTGGAGAGTTGGGGCGAGTCGGGAAGGGGCGGGGTAGGGTGGGGAGGAGTTTGATTATTATATTTCTTCCCCTCCCCTCCTCCTCGCCCTGTCTGCCGATGATTCCCTCCTTACTAGGCAGCCGTCACTGTTGGCACATTCGCCCCCAAGCCTCCAATGTTTTCCGAATCCAAGATGGCGGCTTATAAACACTCGATGGAATATTCAGCGCTCGCTCGTCCAAAATACGCCTGTTTTGCAGACTATGCCTTCTGCCGCCTTGCTTCAAATAAGCACCCCCTGTCAAATCCTAAGGGTACTCCCTTATAAAAGCTATAAAGTATGGTTCTTCAGCCATTTTGGTATGAAATATGGTATGTTTTGCATTCTGGTCTGTAATTGGGTATGATACTTAGACGTAGCTATTCTTTTTGGTCAGATCTGAAATAGAGTAGGGAAAATCACATACAGTATTTTGGTCTAAAATAGGTACGGGTTACAAGAAGCGCACCACCTAGGCTCGATTACCAGCCGCTGTTCAGGAAAATGAGCCCACACTCATCCCCGAAGGTACGGCTGGAGTCGTGAGCTTGGCATTGTTAATTTCCACCAATGAGAAACGTGCCTGCACAAATCGAGCAGGCATAAATTATCTTTTACGGATGCAAAGCAGTTGTTTGGGCTGGCGTTCGATCGACTTCAAGAGACATTTAACCTTGAAACTCTCGAAGATATATGCAATAGGAATCGTTAATGTAAATTAATGGGCATGATGTCTTTATAATTCAACCAACAGGATGGAGTTTTCATCCGCACCAAGGAAATACATCACGGAAAGTTCGCGCTAAGTCGGGGAGCTAAGCCACTACAACCGCACAAGGCAACTAATGAGATCCATTTGGACATTCGACATGTACTATACAATACACAAAACAGTCGGTTAACTTGTGTGATGAATTTTATCTGGGATTTGATGTAAAATCGTGTGGTGCCAGAATGCAACATCTCTGGCAAAATTGCATCAAAACATTGTTTCTTGTCACGGACTGGTCATGTTACATCTTGTAATATTTTTCATCCCGGTTTTCAGTCATATAGCTTCACAATAAAGGCGAGAAATCAACATCTTTCGCAGAATATTTCAGATCAGATCCTTCTCTTTCGAAAATATAAGAGATAATGGAAAATAAACGAATGTCACAAGCCGGAGTAGCGTTACATAAATTAATTTTGTTGATTACGTCACAGACACGTCCGTTCGCTCACGCGTCCAGCCGTTCTTCTCGGGAGGAATGAAGACCGGACTCGAGAGATCGACGGAAATCGAGCCTACGCACCACCCAGCCCCACCAAATTTTCAGGAAGAATCCCCTGTGTATCAAGTTTCGCTCCTGCTTCCCACTTTCTCAGAAATCCTTGTTCCTGCCCTTTGCTCTGCAGTCTCCCATAGCTGACAAAAATACTGGGGGTGGGTGGGATAGGTAGTGATACTCTTAGTCACTTCATGCTATGGAACAGGAGTTACACTGTAAGTGCCGACCTGATATGGCCACCTAGGTTTGTAGTCAGACTTTATTATGGGTTAAATTTTAACTCTTTTATTTATCCCTTTTAGTGCAGAGCGCACTACATCTACCTGCATTATGATTATCTTACCAAGTGCCGCTCCACAACAGAGCCAATCACAGACCAGTGTTTCGTCCTCTCTGCTCTAGCCCTCTCTCTCTCATGGGAGTCCCTAACAGCTCCAGACAGGAGTGCAAACTGATCTCTCTCCAAAGCCTCCAAGTTTTCATATTCACTTTTAAACCCTTTCTCTTCAACCAGTATCTTGTGCTCTTCTGTTGCTAAAGCTAAATAGCGTTCGTCGTCACGAGGAACTCGATCTAACTTACGACGCACTTCTTTAGTCTTTCCTGTACAGAGTTTAGAGCGGATTTCGCTGACTGGACGTCACCTCGTGTTGTCATAAATTCGTTCTCTGCTTTCTTCACGCTTGTTTGTGCTTTTTGCACGTCGGAAATCCCCAACAGATCGTCAAAAGCTTGTACAAAACCACCAATTTTCTCGTAAGAATATCGCAGCATGGTTTCACTCTTAATATAAACTACATTCGAAGCTTTAGATAGCCACTGTCCTGGGAACTTTTGGTCCCTCCCCCGAGGAGTTTAGTTCCATGAGAGGGCGGACGAACATATCTGCCAAGTCCCACTCTGTTTGAAAGATGGGTAAACTCAAGCAGCATTCTTTTTTGAAGAACTGGTCTAGGAGATAGCATTATTATTTTTTCTTAGCTGCTAAAACTGGTCAAGACTTTCTCAGAGCGGGCGAGAGTGGAATGCGTCCGCCATTTTTTTCCCGCGTCCGAGAGAAAGATTGGGATAGAGGATAGTCAATACTTTAGCGCGGGTACGGGGTGGGTAGGGGGATGTTTTTACTTGAAGTAAATTAAGAAAAAATCTGATGTTTTACTGTATGAAAATTAAGGTCTCTAGACATTTAAGAAAAAAATATACTTTTTATATCAGGATTTGAAATTTTAATCTATTAATTTTAGTTGATATACAGCAGAACCTGACCAGTACCTTACCCTACCCCCACACAAAATAAGACTGGTGAGAGAGCAGCCTGGAAACAAATACCCAGTCTCGCTCGACATTTCAGAAATAAAAACATGGCGATGTCAAGATTTTTGTCGTGCTACGCAATGTTTGAACTATCGTATTTTTAACAATCTGCCACTACCACGGACTTCAGCAAAGAACTTTCACTCACCTAACAGTTGTGGAGGTATTTACAATCGACTAGATGGCCCATCTCAAAGGATTTTGACAACTTCGTCGAGCAAATCGACAAGATCAAGCGATTCGCGGATTCAGAAATTTCGTAAAGTTGTGAACACATTTGTCTCTGGCAGCAAACAGTTAGGGAAGGATGTGAAGCTTATGTTTGAAGATACAAAAGAAGCTGAAAAATAATGCTTATAACTGGGACAGTTTAAAAACAGAGGAAATAATTCATTTACATAAGGTAAATAAATAATATTAAAGAGTTGTTTAATTATTACTGATAATATCTTAATATTTTAATGGAACACAAAAGAATACAAATAAAATAATTTACAGCAAGAGCCCGAAAAGTTCCCACTTTTAATTAAATCACACTCTTGTGCGTGCAGACTATCCAATGAGAAGTCGAGGATAAATAAACTATCCTCACTTCTGATTGGATAGTACATGTATGCGCGAGTTGAGCACACTTTTGGGCTCCTTGCTGTAAATCAGTCGGAAACAAGTACCAGTTGATGATGAAATCCCACCTCACGAAGATGGGACTGAGCCCACGGTTTTTGAAACACAAAGTTGCTGAGCAAACATGACGTAATTGCTGCGCGCGATTGCTGTGAGTATTTGCAAGTGCTTGCGCTAGTTTTTGATTGGATAAAGTGATTCGGAAACTCTTCAAGTACTCAACGAAGATTTGCCAAAACCTAGATAAGAGGCATAAGAGTTGGTCCATAAAAGGGTCTCAAGGCACTTTAAATAAATATACGTGACTGTTTAAGCAAACAGGCAAACGCCCCCAATGTGAATCTGCCTTTTAGACAACCCATAGTACAGGTATTACTGTGTACATTGCATATTAAGATGGATTCCGCTCAACGTTCGAGCAATAAGTGCAAAAAATTAATTACTAAAAAAACTACTCATAGCACGGTAACTTTTTAATACTATTGAAAACATATCACTTTAATTCACTTCTCCAAGTGACCCCGCCAATTAAATTCTCAAGCATTCTCGAGAAAATAAATGTCGGAACTTCGTAAAAAATGATAAAAAAAGCACGCCATTTTGTTTTGGAACTGACATGAAGCGTCTTTTTAATTAAAATATGTTAATGATTTCTCTCGCGGGGTCAGCTTGGGAGCCTAATTTATCGATAATTTCTTCTTAACTGTATTCAAAATGTTACCGTGCTTGATGTATTTTTTGGTAAATTTATTTTTTTGCACTTTTTGCTCGAACGGTCCAGCGGAAAATCGTCTTAAATGTTTATTAAATAAAATTACCTGTGATCTAAAGGTTGTGGCAAATGAGGAAACATTGTTGAGGAAAACATTTGTGAATTTCGATGTTTCCAAAATGTTTACCTGTTTGCCGTGCACGCAACAATTTGTTATGGACACACACAATGCAAAAAAAATGTTTCTGAATCTGTTCGCGAAACATTTTGCTTCCGAAACAAATGTTTTCCTGTTTGCTCACCGAGGAAACAATGTCGATTAGATTCCAGGACTTTTATTGCATTGCACACACATAATATCGCATGTTCACGGCATTGTTTCCGTGAAATGTTTTTTTGGTTTGCCCGCTCGTTTGCTCACCCAAGAAACATTATGAACAACAATGTTTCTGCAACAGTGTTTCACTTGTTTGCCATTGCGTTAAATGACTGTGTTTTGCTACACATTATAGACAAGAAAAGACCTTATGAAGAGTTTGCCTGCTGTGGTGGGATTCTTTATACCATTCTTGGGCTATGCAGTTCCATTTGTAGCGTAAGTGACTGTTTAAAAAATAATTATTTTCATGGAAAGAAACTGATGGTGAATTTAACTTTGGTTAGAAATATGAGAAAGATGTTTTATTAGTCAGTGACACAAGCTACTCGGAAAAAACATTCTGAGTTTCCCCAACAGGAGTCGAACCTATGACCTTCTGCACACCGGCCGGATGCTCTACCACTGAGCTGCAGGAGACTTATCACATTTGACCTACATGTAGTTATATGACCTACATTGTAAGCTTCCACGAGTCTCCTGTAGCTCAGTGGTAGAGCGTGCTGACCAGTGTGCGGAAGATCGTAGGTTCAACTCCTGTTGAAGAACTCAGAATTTTTTCAGAGTAGCTTGTGTCACGGACTGATAAAACATCTTTCTCAAGCATTTTCATGTTGATTTTTTTTTCTGTAGGATAATTTGATCAAGGTTATTCTTGCCATTTTAGTTTGCATTTTAAATTTTCAGCTTCCTGTATCCAAAAAACTTTTTATCCCATCATTACTGGCAACCTCACCAGCAAGAGACGTTTGCCCTACAAGATGTAAGAAGAAGAAACAAACATTATCTTCCTATTGTGAGAGAAGTTGGAAGATTGGCTTTGGAGGTACAAAGCAAACAGGCGTTCAACAGACTTGATGTCAACTTCAGTAAAGGTAATGTCAAAGGGGGGGGGGGGGGGGGGTACACTCCTATAATGGACTATACGGGGAGGCTCTGCCTGAAAGGGGTACCTTTTCAGACTGAGGTATATAAAAGGGTACGGATTTCACGTGTTGATGTATAGAAAAGGGTAGGAAATTTCACGAGTTGGTGTATAGAAAAGGGTAGGGATTTCACGAGTTGGGGTATAGAAAAGGGTATGGAAAACTGTCATTTAGGTATGAGGTGGATTGCAGGTTTGAAGTTACTTAGCCATCGTAAGACAGCTTCCTTCCACTTCCTTCTCATATATATATTGTTCATTAAGTTCATTCCAAGGGTATAGAAAAGGGATGCAGTGTTTCTACTGTAGGTACATGTATGTGAAAGGTGGTACCATTTTCATAATTTCTATGGAAGTTATTATGAAGGGGTACCATTTTCCATGGAAGGTATATGAAAGGGGTACCTTTTCTGTCAAAAATGGATATATAAAAGGGTAAGGGGTTGGGACCTCTGGTGGTGCCTCCCCGATAAAACTTTTTTTGAGTACCCCCCAGGATTGTAAAACACTTGGATATTGTCTTGTGTATAAACACTGATCTGAATTTATCATTACATTCCAAAATAAGTGGTTAATCCTGAATTTAGCCAATAAAATTAAACAGTTGTATTGGAGTGTGAAAAAGCACTTTAATGAACAATAACAGAAAACTGTAACACTAACAACTGTTAATGATTCGGGTTTGCAGAATAGCATTTGCTTGTCTATTCCAAAGTCAATATTTTCAATATTACTTTCAGATGAGAAAGAAGACTACCATATATTATTGGAATAGGGGGTGCTTATTGGTGAAATAGAGGCACTTACATGTACATGTATGCATAGGAGCGCTCATTGGAAGTGGGTGCTTATTGGAATAGGGGCGTTTACTAACAAAATGACACTCAAGGGGGAGCGCTTATTAGAAAGGGAGCGCTTAATGGAACGAGGGCGCTAAATCGAGTCATCGTGGTAAATGTGGACTAGTAGATTATCAAAGATGCTAGCCCTGTAGGTAATGTACATAATATCGCTCTAATCTATTCCTGCAATGCAAATGTTGACGATGTTCCCTCCAGGTTGTAAACAAACAACATCACATCTAATGAAGAGCTTTTAAGCATGGCAGAATTCTTTAAGGGAGAAACTTCTTGGCTTTGATCATCTACCTCGCTATCACTTGGTAAGTAATAAGTTATTTCCAAGTATTAGTTTCCATAAAATATTGTAAAATTTTGATCATGTAAGGAGTGCTCTGATTGGTTGTGTAGTCATTTTTGCATAAGGCTACATGTATGTAAACATATCATTGCATTTTATTGGCTTATTTTTTAGTTAAAGAAATAGAAAATGGCTGCTTCTTGTTTACTGCAGTCAGTCTGCGCAAACACTTGAGAAAGTTGAGCCTCATCTATGGGTACCTGCAGACCTCGATTTCATTGAATATTTTAAATGAATCGTCTAATTTTTTTAAACAAGATCATCGTTTTTGTGTCGGTAATTTTTGGTAACATTTTATATTTTCTATCAGATCACGATAATTTGTAAATCGTTGCTTCAATCTTCGAGATCATCGTTTTATAATGGCAATTCGTCGCAACTTTGATTTCGTCGGAAATACCATACAGAGTCTCTTGGGAGAATTCAAAATTACTTATACAATGTAAAACCCTCGCCTGTGGCCTCAGTTTTACATAAACTTTTAAATTCTCCCAAACTTTCTGTCATGTTTGCATCAGACTATGTAAACACGCACACCACTTTCTATTTCTTAAATAACACATGTAAAAAGTTTAAACCTTTTGAATCCCAATCATGTTATAGGCACATGTTGAGGTTATACCCATTTAAACCACTTTGAGGCCATTATTAAATTCATGTGTCACAACATCACTTTTTATAAGCAACTAATGCACAAAGGATAGATCTTTGCAAATGTAACTCTGTTTGAAAATGGAGAAATTTCTGCCAGAGTTACGCACCAGGAAAACGTCTGTGAAATGAATGTCCAAAATGGTGAAAATTTTGGCATGTATAGTTTGTATACCCATCATTCATGTAGCTTCAATTTTTTGGTTCCTTAAAAAGTTAGCTAAACTTACAAACAAAAAATAAAAATAAAAAAGTTAATAATATAAAGAGGATGGGGGGATAACTAAAAGGAGAAAAATAGAAAATGAAGCGAAATAGAAAAAATAGTAAAAAAAGGAAAAAAATTTACAAGCAATGCACAAAACAATTTTTTATAAAAAGAGGGGAAAGGGTGTCTTTTGGACAAACATTTTGGGTTAAAGCTTTTATTGATAAGGTTGTATAAAAGTTTGCATTTATGTTTTATTTTTTGAATTTTGCAGAAAAAAGCTTAGTCATGTTTGGCTGATCAGTCCATGGCTACCAAAACCTGTTTACGAGCTCGTCTGAAAAAAGAACTGAAATCAATTAAGAAGGAGGATGCTGCTTTGAAGAGAGAGGGACTGGGGAATCTACACAAGGGAACAACTGAAAGCGGTGAGACAGCTTTGGAATGTGCAGTTCCAGAAAGTATCCATATCCTCGCCCAACCTCGTTCCCAGGGTCTCTCTTCTTTTGGCGGGAAGAAGATAGACCCTGGGAACGAGGTTGATCCTCGCCAAGAAGGTAATTGGAAATTCCGAGGGGGAGGGGGGGGGTCTCAAGAGACTAAATTTTTAAAGGAAAGTATGAAGCGAAACTGGAAATTCCAGAGGGGTAGGGAGGGGGCTTTTAAACTAAAAAACGTTCTGTGGCAGGGGTATGGATATTTTCTAGAACAACACACAATAATGTACTTGTTGTGTTGAAAGTCTTTTTGCAGCATTATCTAAGGCCCTTTAAAGATGGATTGTTATGTGTGTGAGGAGCCCTACTCAGTTCAGAGCACAATGTTATTTAAATTGGTCACCATTTTTCAAAGGGCTCTATGGAACAGATTGTTAAATCCAGATTGTTAAAGTCTAGAATTTTGGATATTTGAAAAAAAAAATCTAAAAAGATATTGGCTTCCTCCATGGTCGGTAATTTTTGATATTTCTAATAAAGGCAGGAAATCGTCCCTCTTAGCAACTGTAAAACAGATGATCATTTTCAAGTGACTTAGTACTTAGATCATTAGCTGTTAAAACCCCCCTCCCCCTGAGGGGAATGTTCTCCAAACATTTCGGTGGGGGGTGTGTGGCACACTTCTTGAAACCCTTACCCTATTTCAGACCAAAATATGTGATGTTATCCTGTCCATTACCTAAAGTTAATTGAACCAGTTTCTTATAAACTACTACCCAATTCCAGATCAGAGTGCACAATTCCTGACAAAACATACCATATTCAGGCCAAAAGGCTCAAAACAACCCCCTTGGCACCCCACATACCAAGTACATGTATATAGCTTATGTAAGGAACTAAGGAAGCACCCTCCCCCCCCCCCCCCTCCCCTTTGCTAGCCTGTGTAGTTGATGCTTCTCTGACAAGATGACAAAACGACAGCAGCAAAGCTGTTAGAGGACAAACTGACAGCTACATGTACACGCTCAGGCAAGTAGGTAATTTGTAAAATGACCCAGCTTCTCCCATCCTTGTCAGGTATGTCACTCAAGAGGCCTGGACACTACTGATGTTGACCCGGAGGCACTGGTACAGTGGTTAGCTGATTGGGTGGAATTGTCAGATGCTGCTGGAGGTGAGAAATCCACCAATAAACACAGCTGTCACCATTTCCATGGTAACTTTGGCAGTACAGAAATTTAATAGGCAATTTCAGAGTAGCCTTTTGCCTCTGTTTCAAAACAAGTCCAGGTGCGAAACCTTCATATGAAAATGAGTCTGATTGCATGAAAATGAACATGTGAGTAAAACACATTTTCATGTGAAAGGTTTTGCCACCAGGACTCGTTTTGAAACAGAGGTCAAAAAGGAACTCGGAAATGGCCTATTTGTTATCAAATGAAATTCAAGATTTTTTCCTCAATTTTGAACTTAGCACTTTTGGGAGTGAAAGGGTTAAGCAATATACCACCTTTCTATAATTATGGTTAATTGGTTCAATAAACCACGTTGTATTGGAAGAACACGAGAGAAATGTACGGAGTAACCTGCGATCAGGCGTTCTTTTCCTTTGACTTTCTTTTCGCGGAGAACGAGAGCGCGGAGAGAGAGAGAGAAAGGAAAACGCCTGATACAATTATTTTGCCGATTCGCTTTCCACCCACTTGTCAATGTATCTGTCAAGCTGTCAATTTTCAAATCTACGTTACAGTTCGTGACATTTGTACACTTAGCCGTTCTCTTGATTCGCGTCTTCTGACCTTCCTTTGCTTCAAGTGCATTTCTAACGGGCAAGATATGTTGTATTTTGAGGAGCATTTTGAAGTAGAATAGAGCCTTCGACTGTGTTTTTGCCATCAATTTCATTCCGAAAACAGCGACTACGATTGCGTTACACGACACAAATTTGCATAATAACGTCCTAGGACATGTCTAGTCAGTCGTTATGGTCGAATGATTCCATGATTCCGTTTAGAAATTTGAATCAAATAACCATTTTTTAAGCGAAAGCTTCAGCCGTTTTAAATGTAAGATCTTTATATTGGCTTAGTAATGATTCAGAGAGACCTTCCCTTCGCAAAAGGCGGT